TCCTCTTCAACCCTTCTGGTTATTTCCCCAAAGGCCGGGCCTTCTTCTTCGCCCCTGGCTTTCACTTCTGCCAAGAAGAAATTTTTAAATAGCAAGACCTTAAGCCGACACACTAGTCTCCTCACCCGGGTCGAGATTGAGGAAATATTCACTCTGTTGATTGGTCGGGTTTGATTCAACGTCTACCGATCCTAGGGTAATGTCATTGAGCAAACCGAATGGGATTGGCTCGGGATTCACCTAGATTCCCTCAAGGCCCCGCTCACATTCCCTTTCACTCCCTTCTTCCTGTCTTTTATAAAATACTATGGAGTCCTTCCCGGGCAGATAAACCCGAACGACCATTGAATATTGGCTTGTTTCCCATAATTGTATACATAATTGTATAACATAATGTACATAATTATATAACAGAATACACATACACTCTGTCGCGTCAGCTCTCCACACAACTTAACAAAACGACGTCGTTTTGGAAGGCGCGAGTTGCACATTGCTATGCGCGCCCTGGTGCACGGTATAACGATTGAAAGTATAAGTGCAATCTTTAAAACCAATACCGTAAAATATATAACTGTTGTTTTCAGTTACAAAATAGTTTTGTCATGCTCAATTAATTAGGTCCTAATTATTAGGAGAGAGAAATGATTTAGGAAAAAACTTATGAGTTTTAGGATTAGTTTATTTAATATTTTAATTATATATATATACTATATATATATATATATATATATATATATATATATATTATTTTTAAATAGTTATGTCAAAAATAAATATTAAACCCTCTAAACTGTTCGCCCAATTTGGCCAGATTAAATCATTCCTTCTTATCTATAAACAGTATTACTTTTTAGGTTAAATATGTTTTTATATATAAATCCGTTCATAATATTATTTAACCGATTTATAATATATGCATTATGCAGTAGGGGTTGACCCCTGTGTGTGCTAAGGGTGAAGCGGCGTGGCACCTTTTCGTATGGCGAAAAGTAGCAGAAAATAAAGACAAAGTTTCTGACTTAGCATGTGGTTTAGGTTGCTGCAACCCCAAGAAACAACAAAAATGGGTCTGTGGAAAGTCTTTTCATTCAGATTTTTGTGAGATTAATTACTTTTTTAATTGCTATTATCAATGTTAATTCATTATCTCATCAAATTTGTAATTTTATATCTGATTTACGTTATGCTTGGCAAATCTTGCTGAAAGCTAAAAATTTATAAGTTATAAGTTAAAAATTGAACAGTTGTTAATTAGCTTATTATATTTAAAAGTGTTGGTAAAATTAACTTTTTAATAAGTTGATAAATATAAAAAGACTAAAAATGATATTTCTATAAAATTTAAATAATGTGATTATTATATTATTTTTATATTATTAAATATATGAGATATATTTAATTTATAAAACAAAGTTTTGTTTTTATAATATATATGAGATATATATTATTAAATTAAAGTGTCATTCTGCACCGTGAACCATTCTTGATTATTTATGCCAAACCATGATCATTAATAAGTGATATTTAGAGTCATAAATCATTTTTTTTTAGTCTAAATTTTTTTAGAGATTTCCTACAGATTACTGGTAATATTATACATACAGGTTGACTCTATGTATATTATTGATCAACAACATCTCTACTGAAACTCGATCTCATGACCTTCCACATAGAAGAGGTCAAACACTATTAGTTTGGTGTTGGGGAAATTGTATTGAGTTTTGATGAACTTTGGATAGTTGGGTCCACATCATATGGTCTGTTTGTTACACTGACTTGGGAGACAGAAGGTGACATTACAGTTCTGAAATCACAATTCACGGTTAATTTAAGCCACATAAATGTGCACAAAATTATATATTCATTTGAAAATTTTGATTGAAAAGACTAAATAAATAATATAAACTCAAGATTTTGATGAAAATTGAACCCATCACGAAACGATAATAAGTTTTCTCAATTGAGGTGTTTGACATTGGCAAATTTTACTATAGTTCACATTGCGAAGTGAATCAAAATAAATATTATTTTTAGTATATTGAAAGTTCATATTTATTGTTCTAAAAATTTATATTTAGATAATATACCAAATAATAAATATTCAGTACACAAAAAATAAATATTTAATATATTAAAAATGAACACATTTAATATATTAAAAATAAAATGAACATTATATCAGTAATTTATGTTGTAAGGTATGGTCCATGATATATTGATTGATTGACATTGTCTACAAATTTCCCATTCTAAAAGGATTAGATTTTTTTTTTTTTTTTTTAAATAATACTGTTTACAAAATTTCATTGAAGTTAAAAATATGCTTACAATTTTTTTTTTTTTTTTAATACCACATCTGATACCTTTATTATTGTAAAATTAATTCAAGTTTATTATACAACACATCCGTAAACTTTGATTCTTATTTAATAAATATAACATGCTTTAAAAACGTGCCAATAGCAATTAAAAAAAAAATAACATGCTTTAAAATTTTTAACATGACAAACTCTTTGCCCGATGTGAAACTTTAATTTATTATCAAATTCCCTTTTGAGATTCAACATGATGAAACGTGCCACTTCACGGGCTAAAGGAATTTAAATTTCTTCACTTCATCAAAGTCAAAAGAATCAGATTGTATTAGCCAGCATGGGCTCAATAAACGAAGGAGGAACATCCCTCCAAACAGAACGTTCTGCAATAGCAGCTACATATTTAGATAAGGAGTGCGCCACTTGGTTGGCCTCCCTACTAACAAAACAAACTACAGTACCAGGCAACGCATTAATTAAATGTTTACAAGCCAAAAGCGTATAACCAAAATAATTGCGAAACGAACTAACAGAATTAAGACTAGAAACCAAAAGTGATGAATCCGTGTAGATTGAGCCACCTGAGTACCCGTTATCCTTTAACCAAGAGAGGGCTTCACACAATGCCATTGCTTCTGCCAGAAGGGGGTCATACGGGCATGCCAATGGACCGTTTGCCGCTACCACCAAGGAAAAGTCGCCACCGAACACCACAAAACCGAAAGCGGGAGCACGTTGCGGACCATGAAAACCAACATCCACAAAACAAGAAAAAGGAACCGGCGTAGTAGAGGTGGCTTGTGCAGGAGCTGTGACTGGGAGTCTCCCGATCGTCGCAACCCGTCGGTGCTCGGTGTCCAACCAGGCCGTCCATTGCACGTGAAGTCGGCTGAGCAGAGCGCTAGGACCCGGCAGTGCTGCATCCCACACGGCAGCGTTGCGAGCAGACCAGATACAATGGAGCACACCGCAAATACGGCCTTGCAATTCACTAGAGAAACCCGTAGTAGCACCGAGCCACTCCTCCGCCCATTGCACAAAATTCCTGTTGGCAATAGGAGGAATTTGAATTTGAGAAAGTTGTCAAACATTAACAGCATATGGGCAAGAACAAAATATATGCATAACACATTCTGCATCTAAGCCACATGACGGACAAGAATTAACATCGACAACCCTTCTAATTATCAAATTATCAAGTGTGGGCAAAATATTCAGAAGGGCTCTTCATAAAAACACCTTCCATTTTGGGGGGACCTGCAACTTCCAAACATTATTCCACACAAAAGATGGTTGTGTAGTTATCACACCCAACCGCCTATAACCATCCTTCACCAAATAGCAACCCCTTATATCCCCTTCCCAATACCACATATCATCATAATCCGTACTCACAGGCAACTGTCGGATCAAACCTGCGTCCCGTGTATTAAACAACTGCTGCAAATAATCATTATTCCAACTCCCGGTGTTTGCATCAATCAAATCCGAAACTAACATATCATGGCCATTAGCTACCTGGACAGAATCAACATAGGGGTTCTGCAGATCCGGTAGCCAAGGAATTCTCCATATCCAAGTATCCCTGTCGTTGCCAATTCTGCGCCGACACCCTGACTTTAACAAGTTCTGACTGGCCATAATGCTCCTCCACACATAACTAGGACTACCCCCTAAAACAGCCTCATAAAAAGACGTAGAAGGAAAATACCTTGCCTTAAAAACACGAGCCATTAAGGATTTCTGATTAGTCAGCAGGCGCCACCCTTGTTTTGCCAATAAAGCCAGATTGAATTCATGAAGACGTTTGAAGCCCATTCCTCCATACTTCTTGGGTTTACACATCCTATCTCAAGCCAACCAATGGATGCTACCGTCATTTCCACTCTGACCCCACCAATACCTGTTCATCAATCTTTCCAAAGAGGCACATAAAGTAGTTGGGAGCAGATAAATACTCATAGTATAAGTTGGCATAGCCTGAGCAACACTCTTCAAAAGTACCTACTTACCGGCTTTAGACAGTAACCTCTTATTCCATGAGCCGAACCTTTGCCTCAGTTTTTACTCAACGTAAGCAAAAACTGCCCTTCTGTTCCTGCCTATAACTGAAGGCAATCCCAGGTACTTCCCGAAACCCTCTGCTTGCGCAACCGTTAAGGTCCTTGAGACAAGATCCCTCATCTCTTCTTGTGTATTCCGGCTAAATGATACACTTGACTTATGAAAATTCACCGCTTGGCCAGAAAACGTCTCATAGACACTCAGACATCTCTTCACCTCCTGAGTCTCCTGCAGATTGGCTTTAAAGAAGAGTAAGCTGTCATCTGCAAAGAACAAATGTGAGATCGGTGGTGCCCCCCAGGCCACCCTACACCCATGTATATGGCCCTTCGTCTGTGAATCCTGCAAAAGCAAAGACAACCCTTCGGCGCAAATGATAAACAAATACGGAGACAAGGGGTCTCCTTGGCGTAGACCCCTAGAAGGCACAATTACCTCAGTAGGCCTGCCGTTTACCAGAACTCTATACCGCACGGTTTGAATACACATCATAATCAGCTGTATCCATTTAGCATCAAAGCCCAAACCCACCAACATGTCATTCACAAAGGGCCACTCCATCCTATCATATGCCTTAGCCATATCAAGCTTTAGGGCTGCCCACCCCACCTGGCCCAGCTACTTCCTTCTCAAATAATGGCCAACCTCAGAGGCAACCAAAATATTGTCCGAGATTAGCCTACCCGGAAGAAAGGCACTTTGTGATTCTGAAATAACATCCTCCAATAAAGGCTTCATACGATTGGCTATCATTTTAGCCATAACCTTATATAAAACATTACACAAAGCTATCGGGCGCAAATCAGAAACATGCTCAGGGACACACTTTTTAGGGATCAAAACAATGTTCGCATCATTCAAGCAATCAGGTAAAGATGACTGAGAGAGACAATTAAGCACAAAAGACGTAACATCCTTACCAATGACATCCCAGAAGGCTTGGTAGAAACCAGGATTCATGCCGTCAGGGCCTGGGGATTTATCCTTGCCCATAGAAAACATCGCAGCCCGGACCTCCTCCGGCTCAAAAGGGCGCAGCAGATGAGCATTCTGAGCTTCAGTCACACGAGACCGCATAGAATCCACACTGAAAGACCCCGGGGACCCGCCAGAAGTGAAAATCTGTTTATAGTAAGAAGCTACCAGCGAATCCAATGCCCGCCCCTCCTTCCATACCCCATCATCATCCTTCAACTTCTCTACAATATTCTTCTTTTTCCGGTGGGACGCATACTTATGGAAAAACTTAGTATTCCGATCAGCACCTTGCAACCAGTGTTGCTTGGCACGCTGTCTCCAAAAGGCCTCCTCCTGAGACAGAGCCATATTCAAACAACTATCCAAATGAGCAAACCAGGCCAGCGCAGTAGGATCACGCCTACCTCGCAACGTATCCATCTCTTTCCTTAACTCAATGATCCACTTACTAAACATGTGGTGCCGGACACCCCCCCAAGCCTTCAAACCCTTACCGCACATAACGAGTCGAGTCTGCAACTCCAACCCATGCGAACTAGCCCACTCCTTCTCCACCACTCCCCTACATCCCTCATCCAACAACCACGCATTCTCAAAGCGAAAACCACGTGGCCTATGACCCGCACCGACCCATAGATATCAAGAAAGAGAGCCGAGTGATCCGACAAGTCCGTACGAATATTATACAAACTTGCCTTATCATAACGACCCAGCCAATCCATGCAAGCCACCACCCTATCAAGCCGCTCCTCCACCCAGTCCTCCGTGCCCTTGCCCCTCTCCCAAGTAAACGGATAGCCAATCATAGGAAGAGACATCAATCCACAATCCTCCAAAGCCTCATTGAAACCTTCAATCAAGCCATTCGGATGCGGTAATCTACCCCTCTTCTCTGACTGGGCCAATAAATCGTTAAAGTCCCCCAAAACTACCCAAGGTAACTCAGAAGCCCCCTTCAATGATCTCAAGTAGTCCCAAGACGCCCTCCTCCTACTCCTCTGAGCATATCCATAGTAACATGTGTGCCGCCAGTGCGGCCTACCCGGTAAAGTCACAACCAGGTCAATATGATTAGAAGAATAACTAATCAAGCTAGCATAATTGTTCTTGGCCCATAAGAAACACAAACCCCCCTTCCTACGATCACTGTCCACCTTGAAACACCCCTCAAAGCGCAGTTTAACACGCAATCTCTCAGTTTGATCCCCATCCACCATCGTCTCGATCTGAAAAACAAAATCCGGCTTCCTTTTGGACACAAGGTCCTCAACTTCCCGAACCGTCCGTGGATTGCCCAAGCCACGGCAGTTCCAAAATAAGGTACTCATTGGGGAGGGCGGGCCTGGTCCCCAGGTCCCACCATACGAGAAGAAACTGTATCCACCTGCATGCCCCTACCCGCATCCACCACCCCACCATCCGCCCCCCTACGACGTTTAGGATCAACCCGAACACCCTCCTCCACACCAGCCCCCTCACCCGAAACCCCCATAGCTGTACTGCAACCCCCCCCCACCGTATTGCCAGCCACCATACTGCCGCCCACCCCACCGTCTCCAACACCCCCCCCGTGGCCCGGCGTAGCCCACTGCCGAACCCCCACCTACCGGCGCACCGCCGTACCCTATCACCCGTCGCCTTTCCTGCCCCAATTGAAACCACCTATCACCAAGCACCTTCGCCGGACCTAGCCCTCCCGCTTTCATAGCCGGACCATACAAGTAATGCTCCGGCTTCAAAGATGAACGCCTCGCGTCCAAACAAAATTTGTCCGTGTGTCCCATCTTACCACAAAAGTAACAAAACATGTGCAGACGCTCATATTTAAAATTGATCCATGCCTACGTACCATCACGAAGGACCATCTTCATGCGACGCTTCAAAGGCTTAGCCACATCATGCCTGACCCTCACCCTATAAAAAGTTGCCCACGGTCTCTCGAAATTCCGGTCATCAATCCGTAAATAGACCCCCACGAAATCCCCACCTTCTCCAGCACCCTCTCCGTACGGTAGCCGATTGGCAAGTCAAAAACTTGCACCCATAGATCAACGGTATTCAATACAACCTGCGTAGGGTGTTCATCCGCGTTCAAAGCCTGACAGATCAGCGTTGCGTTCTCAAAGGCCCACAGCACCTCCTCCAGGACACGCTTCATGTCCGCCTCATCAAAAAAAGTGAAGATAAAGAGGTTCGCCTCCACGTCCGCAACCTCAATACCCATCAACGGCCGCCATGCATTCGCCAGTACCCTCTTCATCATCTCAGTCTTGAGGGATCTATCTGTCAAGAACCGGCCAACAATGGACCAGGTTTGGTGCGTCACCGTAGCATCAATACCCCCGGTGGGCTCATCCTCGAACCGAACCCCCAAGTCTTCCTCCTCCAACGAGATGTCCGTTGTACCTCCGATGATGTCCTGTATATCCATGTGGTTGTTCGCAGTGCCCAGCGTGCTCGCTCACCGTTCGTCGTCCACTTTTCGATAAAAAAAAAGCGTAAACCCTAGATCTCAGGGATGTAACGTAGGGAAACCCTAGATATCAGGGTAGAGAGAATTAATTCAAATACTTTCCTTCATCTTTTCGTACTAAAGAAACTAATAAAAATTATCTGTGTGATGCCTAGATAAAAATATTTTTATTGTATATTTAGATAATAAAGTTAAAAATAAAATTATAAATCATTCTAATATTTGAAAGTATGTATTTATTTGATTATAAGATTAATGTAAAAATATCACCTAATTAATATAATTGAATAATATATGACTCGGTTGTATACAATTATCTTAGAAAATCGTTATTGTCTTATGATTTAGGCAATTATATTATTACTAAAATAAATATGGGAAAAAAGGAGAAATAAGTTAAAAAGACATTAAATTGTGAAAAAAAAATTGGAATCAAAATTTATTTTAATGTTGTTTTAAATTACCCGATTTAGAACTATTTTGTTCCCATATATGATTTAGGTAAAATTTGTTATTATAAAATAAATATGTTTCAAAGGAAAAAGCTGATAACCCCGATGTGCACCATGAACCCCAGGATCCAACCCCCTGATGGTTTCTGATTGACGCCCAATTGGCTCTTTCCATGTTCAACTTAACCCATCCCTCTTCAGGTAGATACCAACCTACCCATTTCATTCCACTTCTACCGAGCATGTTCTTGTTGATTAGCATTAGACTTGATTTTGTACTCCACCTCAATAAAAATAAAAATAACGCCATATATACATATATATTTTTTTCTCTCTATGTTGTCGAGTCTCCTTCCCTATTGTTTAGGGTTTTGTCCTTTTCTCCCCTGTTTTTAGGGTTTTGCCCACCGACTCCGACAACTTCCATAGCTGTCAATGAGGATACTGTAAGATTTTTCCTAATAATATATATTATATATTATATATTAGGGCCTTAATTAAGTGGTGCAAGTTGACTAGGCTTATTAAGTAGTCTGGTTGGACTTAATAACTAGTAGTTGTTAGTCAACCAAACTCTTTGCCTAATATAATCTTGGATTGATGGGATACAGGATGTTGGATGTTAGCACATTCAGTTACGGTACTAAGACTGGTCAGTAGTTACCAATACACCATCTAGGGTTCTGAGTCAGGTCTGAGGCAAAAGATGGCTAACGGTCTACCGTTAAGAGGCAATACAACAGGAACATCAACTATGGCTGGAGATCAACACGGCTACGCTTCCGCTATCATACGAGGTCATGTTTCTCGTATACTATGGTTTATTATAGTTAGACTATTGTATATCTAACATTTGGTATCAGAGCCATTTATAATCTTTGCCTGGTTGATTGTTTTGCCTAAAACAATATTCAGTTTTCATATTCATGTCTTGTATATTAATTCTTTGAAATATACATACAACATATATCTATTTAGTGAAGATATAATTAAGCAATTTAGTGTGTATGTGTTGGTGAATTAATTACACTTGATTCTGCCAAAAGTTAATTTTTGGCATTAAGCACAATTTTAATTCCTTTTGGTTTTTGGAATTATTTGTTGTGATTTTGTTTGGGATTCACGGAAAATTATTGGAGTTTTTTTTTTTTTTTTTTTTTTTTTTTTTGGCGAATGGATGGTTACAGTTAAACAAAAAAAAAAAAAGAAAAAAAAAAGAAGAAATGGTAATACACACAACATTAAGATATGTTTGTGTGATTAAGCAATTATCATTTATATTTATTTACCATATAAATATTTGCCTTATTAATAATTACATTTTAATTTGGTAAATGGTAATTATTTAGTTTATTATTATCATATTTATATTACCTAATTTAATAATGTATATTATTTTGGCAAATGGTAAATATATGGTAATTGTTTGTTTTTGGATAATGTCTTTTAGTTTCCTCTTATTTTGACATTGAATTCATTATTAAATTATTATTCAATTTGAGCAAATATTAAGCTTTTATTTGCTGTTTGAATTTTAATTTAATGTTAATGTGCATATTAAATTGCTCAAGTATTGCAATTTATTTAGAATATATGGGTTAATAATATTTTAATATGCAAATCCAAGCATGTTATGTATATTCATAAATTATTACTATAATTATACATTCATAATATCATGCATTAAGGTAGGATTTAACATAGTATTAACTCATAAATTCATTATTACATACCATTCAGTTTTTGGTTCCTTAGGCTAATTTTAGACATTATAGCCTATTAAGGTAGCTTTGTTTGGTTCCCCCTTAATTTGAACACATTTTAGTTTTATGTGTCTCTGGGACTTTAGAACCTATTTTGAATAAGTTATTTGGGACCTATCTTGGGCCATTAAAGTATGGATCCCACCATTTTGATTGATATTTAAATAATAATTATAGCTCCTTTTGATTATCATATGTTTATTCAGTTCTAATTATTACTAACTACCATATTTTGGTATTCATCGTTGGTAATAATATTAAGTTTTGGTCTACTTCAGTACGAAAATTTTTCATCCATGTTATAATTCACTTAGGTCATTGAGGTTTATGAGCCTAATTTGAGTAATTAAGTGCTATAATTATTGTTTTGATCTGTTTTGAGACATTAAGGATTAAGGATGACAGGATAATAGGGCTGGCACCCGACCCGGATCATAAATGGGCATCTGACTCAGCATCGCTTGGGAACCCAACGGACAGAACTCCAACGGTTAGGAATCCCAACAGGTGTCACCTTACTGTCATTGAAGCCAGCATTGAAGCCCCCATTTATGAGAGAGAATTAAAGGCTAGGCTCCCCATTTATGTCCCATGTTGTTACCGTTAGGACTCTGAGTATAAATGGGGCTCTCCTCACTAGACAAGGACACTGTATTTTCCATACTGAAACTAAGGCAATACAACTATTGTCACTTTCTTATTCGTTACTCTTATATTATATTTCCGGTAACATTATTACCTTCATTGGTGCTTTCATTGAGAGCCTGAGTCCAATACTCAAGCAGGCTACAACACACACAACTCATTCCTTTTTCAACAACAAGCTTGAAAGAATGGTGTCCCGCAGCTCCCACGGTTCCCGTAACGTGAACAATGGCAATGCCTCAGGTGACCTCCGGGACCAACTCACCAACAATCGCGGAGGGGACCTCCGAGAACAGCTCAGCAACGGGAGGCCCGGGGATCTTCTAGACCAGCTCAACAATGGAGGAAACCTCCGAGACCAACTCAATAATGGAGGGGACCTCCGAGACCAGCTCCACAATGGAGGGGCGAACCAAGTCGTGAACCTCCAGGCGACCATCCAGCAAGCGGTGGCAGCGGCACTAAACCAAGTGGCGGTGGGACTACAAGGCCAAGTGCCCCCGCCGCGGCCTCAGGAAATAGAAGTAGAATCTCCACGAAGGGTGGATGCCCAGGACGCAACTCGTGCCGTGAGGGTCGCAGAGCGACGCACTAGGACCGGGGGTCCGGGAGAGGGCACCCAGAGAAGCGGACCGGCTGGACGGCAACCTAGGCCCTCCCGCTCTGCCTTAGAACGGTTGGGACACGGGGCGCCCGCTTGGCAGAGGCCGGAGTCGCGTGCCGAGGGGTCCTCCGCTAGAGGCCCTCGCCGACACGAGGAAAGAGAAGCGGAGAGATCGCCCATAGAAAGGATGGGCGAGTCTCGTGGGCCGGCGTCGCGTCGACACTCGGAAGAGTGACGCTTCGATGAACCGGCCCCGCGTCGGCACTCGGCGGAGCGACGC